GTGGGAGGGCTGGGCGGTGGGGAGGCCGCGCCCGCGCAAACGGCCCGGTAACTTACCGGTCCCCCGGCGCTAGGGCAGCTGGGTGAAGGTGCTCCGGTGCTGTGTGCACGCTCCTCCCCGGAGCTTGCGAACACGTGCCAGGGTTCCGACCGTGAGCCGCGGGGTGTGCCAGGGGTTACGGCACGGCACGGCACGTAACCCGCGCGAGCGGCCTTCCTCCGCGTGGTGCTGGCGGCACCCGCACCGGCCACAGCTCTTCTCTGCCCTGTGTAGGCTCGTGGAATACCGAGGTTTCCAAAATGAATAAAGATGCCCAGATGAGAGCTACCATCAACCAAAAGCTAATAGAAACAGGAGAGCGGGAACGGTAAGTAAGCTTCCCCTCCTCCGTGCCAGTCAGAGGCTTCAAATACTGCCAGACATGAACTAGACCCAGAAGTAAAGATTAAGTAAACTTAACTCTAAATTCCTCAGATGCCCGCATATGAAAATCTTACGCATTATATAAAGCCCCTTAATTTTGCCTTTTGAACAAGCGTGTTGTTTTAGTTTTACACTTGAGAAGCTGGGAGAATAAAGGATGGGGTGGTTGGCTTATGGACTCTAAAGCTTTTTCTTATTCTGGTATACTGTGTTGGAAAGCTCTTGGTTCATATAAAAATCGCCATTAAGTGCAATTTTTTGCAGTAGATCTTGTTATTTCCTGATAAAGAGAATGAGACAAAACTTTCCTTTTTGCTTTTGAGTTTTTCTTGTGTTTCTATCTCTTCTCTTGCTAGGGAAAGCAAAATACACTGGAACACATAAAACAGCACTTGTGCCAGTCATTGTAGAGATCCCAATAAAGGCAAACAAGTCAATTACGCAATGTAGTGTGGCAGCTAGTTTTTGGGCTTTTGTTGTCTCTTCTGTCTGGTATATTTGCATTGTGTTTACATATCACTAGTGTGCTTATGATATTCACCTCCTCCTCATTTCATTGTGTTTTTAACACCACGCACCAAAAGCTCTGTTTCCTTCATTTTTCAAGGCCTGTAAGAGAAGGAGTCTTCCCAGGTCATCGCGTAGCCCTGTACCAAATATAACCTTTTGTAGACTGACATGGTGTCTGTGCTCTGCTTCTTTCCTGGTGTGGCCATCCCCTTGGAGACTGCACAGAGCTTCAGCAGAGCAAGGAATTTCTTGAAATGGTATTGGGACCTATTTTACTCTAATTTAAGACTAAGAAGAGTTTTGACTGGATGTCAAAAACTGTATTACAAACAAGCTTTATCAGAGCTGTACTATGGACAGAAACAGAGCACTCAGATTTCTTGAAGTAAGAAATATCCAGAAGCAGGGAATTTCACCTGTGGTGTTGCTCTGTTTCCTGTCATCAATTCATCTGCCCTCTACATGATTCACTGAGTAAAAAGGATTAGACCTACACAATTCAGCCTCTTGCTGCAGTCCTTTCATTCATAAAAACAGAATTTTGCTAGAGTTATTTAGGACAGTACAAGATAAGTAGGCTTGCTAGCTGATGGAATAAAAGATGAAGATATTAAAGCTTATTTTATCATCTCTTACTTTCATTTTCCCATTGTTTTTCAGGGCTAATTTTCACTTTTTTAGCTAGCTTTCAATGTTCTCGTCTGATATATGGAGTAGATGCATCATTGCAGCAGATTGTTGTGTGTTTTCTCTGTTTAATGCCTGAATTCTTGTTGCTTATGCTTATAATTGCTAGCTATGCTTAGGAAGATAAGATATACGATGCCTTCATCTTCACCCAACATGAGGTAAAGTGTAACTGGGGAGAGAAACCTGCAGCTGAAGACAGTAGTACAGAATTCTCCTTTCAGAAAGGAGGGGGAAAGTTTTTTTTGAAGGCCTGGTTTCAGGTGAAATACTCTAACTTTAAAAGTCAGCATATGTTTGCAAACAGAGTAAACTCAGGCAGTTCAAGTGATTCAGGGCCTTCTACCTCTTTTCTGTGGCTGCAGCATCAATGCTGCCTGAAGAAATACTGTGAATTAGCTCTTGAGCTGCCAGCTCCTCATTATCCAACATGGTAAACTGAAGTGGGTACTCATTTGGGTTAGGATTCACATGCTGTTCAGCCGTTTCTGCTGCTGGTCTGTGACTTCTGCTATGAGTAGTAATTGTAAGCCTAACTTTCACACTGAAGTCTGTTTAAGCCATCGGGAATGTTTGCTGTTCCTAACAAGTTGTATATTGTCTTAACAGCCTTAAAGAGTTGCTGAGAGCCAAGTTAATTGAATGTGGCTGGAAGGATCAGTTGAAGGCACACTGCAAAGGTAATGGTGGTCAAATAACTAATATCCTTTGTAAACAGCTGAGGCTCTGGACAAACAAAATCCCCAGATGAAGGCTTTATTTTCCTCCTCCCCAAGTCTCCTTTAAATTGATGTTAGGCAGTATCTCTGGCAATTGGTTTTGCATGCAAGAAAGTATATTGTCATCATGGCAAAAAAAAATCTCAAAACCTCATCTCTGATCTGAAACTTAACAAGCTTCTGAGAAAAGTATTGGAATTGGCTCCCTAAATATTGATGATGATAAAGCTTGATACAGCTTTTTGTTTTGAGAGAGATGACTTCCCTACCACAGGAGAATAAAACCAAGAGAAGGGAAAATGGAGCAACTTACAAACTTAAGAGAACTTTGTTGTCTGCATATGGGAGAGAAAGAAGTGTATTTGTACTCCTGAATACAATTCTTGAAAATAAGATCATCTACTTAGATGAGAGAAAACAAGCAGATGAACCTCTAAATACCCAGATCTTTTAGTTCTGAGTTACATGTTTAGCGTTACTACAATTTACTGACTTGTAAATTATATGAAACTGTTATAAATAAGCATTCAGGAATATTACTGCATGATGAAATTTCCTTAAAGCAAATATGAAATCCCTTGATCTTTCGCTTTAATTCTGATTTGGTCTATTGTGCCCGGCAACTCAATATTCCATTATAAAATTTTGCTTCTTGTAGGGCTGAGCAAGTTAAATTGTTTTCATAAGTGGATTTGCAGGGAAGGTTGAAATGATGCTTGCAGTCGTCTGCCTGATGCCACTGCCAGAGACTACCCATTTCAATAGTAGAGATAGTGAAAGGGATGTTTTTCTGCTTTTTCAACTATACCCTTTAGAATCTGCTATAGTAAAGTTACTTAGAATTGTTTCATTTACATTAGTACTTTGCACTGTAACTGCAGCTGCTGAGAATACAAGTATAAATTCTGTTGTCCCTGTTAAGGGCCTAGTGAAGTCCAGTAGAAAGGACAGAGAGGGATTTGGGGGGTTGGGTGGGGTATTTTGTTGTTTTGTTGGGGGGTGGGGGGTAGGTTGTTCTAGAGCCTCTTGCCATTGTGGATTAGGGCCAATAATTGAGCAGCCCAGGATTAATTTCTGCAGGGAATTCAGCCAAGAAAATATTTAGAAATAGTTCATGTGATGTCAGTTCAGAGTCTTGGGAACAATCAATCCTATGTACTGAGGTATAGTTAAAAATGTTAATGTTTAGACAAAATATTTTAGGTTTATGCTACTGAATTGAGGTTTCTTCTCAGCATTGACTTCTGCATTTTTCAGTAGTCTTCAACGCACTAAAAGTAGACAATTTGTTTAAATACTGGCATGGTATATCTTAATCATAGCTTTTATTTTGCTGTAGATGTATACCTTTCTTTCAGATGTGCTTTTTTACTTTGCTGAAATACAGAGAGATGTTGCTTAAACCAGTTAGGAAGAGGAGTAATTATTTACTGTCTCTTTGCTCTCCCTTGTTGTATGTATGAAAATCTTTTTCCAATTGCATCTCTTTCTCACTATTATGCAAATAATGTGTTTGAAGAGATACGCGGACCAACTTATGAACTGCTACAATGCAGTAACATGCACATCTGGTAATGCTCAAATAAGCTTAAACTTTGTAACGTTTTATTTTAAAATATGAGCTGATCAAGATGCATGACAAGTTCCCATCCTTAAACCTATGGTATGAATGAGAGACTAAATCCACTGTACAATGCAGCGTAAGTGCTAAGTTAATAACCTACATTTAGGTCACAAGCTGCTTCATCTTCTCTGATGACGTATGCATGCAGGTTTTGTCTCTTAATCATTGGCACAGGTTTTCGCTTTCAATGAATGGATTAAAAGACTTAAAATATCTGTCTTGGTCTTCCCCAGATGTCATTAAAGAAAAAGGATTAGAGCATGTTACTGTTGATGATTTGGTGGCAGAAATCACTCCCAAAGGCAGAGGTAAGAAAATGCAAACATGGATGTGGTAGTACATAAATAAACATACCTACCTGTATTTCATTAGTGTTTTGAAAACAGTGGTATGAACTTGCCTGTGTTGGATTCAAGGAAAAATACTAAAAGCTTGATATCAGCTACAAAGAAAACCTGTGAATTTGTATTGTGTAACAGCCATTCAAAATCTGTAATGAGCTGTGTGTGTAGACTACTTTTGCAGGTTAAATTATTTACTCATGAGTCTGGTCTGTATTCATCTTTATAATTGACTTAATAGTCCCAAGACAACTTGGCGTACAAGATGTTTTAAAGCGCCAATTATTTTTAAGATGGAAAATCTGAACTAACAGTATTAGTGTAATGGGAAGTGGGAAGAGGAAAGGACATAGCATACTGATACAGAAAAATGGAATCTCTTAAGGAAATACTGCAGTCGTCTTGGTATAGTTCTTACTGGATTTTCTAATAGGCTTTGGTGTTAGTGGGAGAAACTTCATTAAGTCTTAAATAAAAATAGACCTTCAAAATAACTTGCTGAAGACCCTTACTCTGAGGTTATGGCTAAGATTTTTTTTGTCTTAGATTTGTGAAGAAAAAAAGTAGGATAATCAAACTAGTTTCTGGTGATTATATCCTGTTTACTGTTGACTAATAACTTCTCTTAAACTTTCCAATTTTCTTGACTATGGCTAGACAAAAAACTACCAATAACAACAGTGTTCTCAACAGACTTCAATTTTAGCCTATTTTAAATCAGAAAAAAAAAAAAGATATGCTATATGAAAATCAAGTAGCTTCAGTTACGTAGGTGTTAATAGAATTGCAAGAACAAAGAAAGAATAGAAGTAGCTGTTGTAAAAGGTTGGTATTAGCATATTTTCCATTTTGTCTTTTTTACTTTTTGCTTTCTTATTTGTGTTTCAGCCTTGGTACCAGACAGTGTAAAGAAAGAACTCTTGCAAAGAATAAGAACCTTCCTTGCCCAGCATGCTAGTCTTTAACTTTGATGTTCATCTGGGATACAGTATTTCTGTTTCTGTATTATATCAATCATGTCAGGATTGGAATGCAGTTTCCATACTCATGCATGGAAAATCATTATCGGTTTTTTTTGTATGATGAGTTGACGTTTCTTTGCACTGCATCAATTTCTTAAATTTGGTGTTATTTTAATAAAAAATTTTGTGGACTCGTGGTTCTAAGGCTCTTCTCTTTATCAGTGCACTGTAATATGGTGTCACCCATTCCGGTTTTTAAAATGCTGTAATTTTATATGGGTGTACAAACTTGCTCAGATTTTTAAAAAAGAAGCACGATTAACAAATATGTTAACTAGAAATGCAGAAGTGGGGGGGAAAGACTGTAGAAAATGGGTTATGACATGCTAGTGAGCAGATCCTTTCTGATTTTCCCTGACTAAGCAGCTGGACAGCATGAAGTCATTAAGACTACATGACACTGTTAGTGGCAGTCCTGTCAGTACTTTGCTAAAGAGCAAGTAGTTTGAAGTCTCTGACTTGTGTTGCAGATATTCACTGAGTAATTCATACAGGTTGAATTCTGCAAACAAAAAAAGGCAATCGTATCTTTCATCAATAATTCTCTCTTAGCTATTGAGAAGAGTCACAATTCTGATCCTTGACAACTACTGTTTTGTGTAACTACTGTTACCGTGTTGCTGGTAATTTTTAATTATGTGGATCTTTGGGACCTTTTGAAATTTACGTGTGATACAATAATTTGCCAACATAAGTCTCTTAAGATGATATATTTTAAATGCTCGTGTCTGGAACTGCAACATCAGCCAGGTCTATAAACAGCTGCAAAAAGAACGTTGATGAATAGAGAGGAGCAGGAAAGGGGCTTTGAAGGGAGAATGTTTAATTTTTGCTAGCTTCAATTTGAGGTAAGTGTCTAATAGATGATGAAGTGGAGGAGAAGCATAAGCAGAAACTGAATGAGCAATTAGATACTGTTGTGACTCAGCTACTGTGAAAAAATGAATTGGCCCAAAATAAATGTTAATAGTCCTAATTAGAAAATTACTCTAAAAACTGTCACTTGGAGTGGAGCTATTATTTGCTAGCTGCTTAGAAAGCCGTGCCTGCGCCAGTGGATTTGTGTCTTGTTCCCCAG